ATTTAGCACCCTAGCCACTACCAGTGCCAACATCCCAAACAAGATCATGACAAGGTGTCTATGGAGTTATGAAATTGAACAATTCTTCAGGGTAACTTGGCCTAACCTTTGAGTACATTAGTGCTTGCTTAATGTACAATTCTGCCATTCTTTTTTAGTCTCTCTTTTTTTTAATTCTCTGATATGATGAAGATTTGACATTATTGTTCCCTTTTATATATGCTGAGCATTGGGAAGGACAAAAATTAAAGAATTCCCATGTTGTTGTGTACTGCTCTTTGCATTTGATTAGTGGACTGGAGTACTATTGTACCAACCCAACCACTTAATACTTAATTTGGACTAAATTGTTCAATTTTAATGTTTGAAAACTTTGTGCAAGTCATATTGACCACTTAGGACTTGTTTGGGTGGTTTTGATTGAGAAGTAAAACTAGATTTGGAAACTTTATTTGTTGCTTGTAAAGTGAGATTTTTCTATTAAAAATGTTATTCTTCTTTGTTCATTTAGAAATTCTAGAATGAAATCAAATTAAAGATCTATAATTTTGCATGCAAGTGGAAGCTTGCATCCGGCATTTTGTGTAACAAGAAGGTACCAGTCAAGAACTCTAGGTTCATAAAATGCAAGTGGCGAAAATTGAGGATGTTGAGATGAATGTATGGGTATTCTTTGAGCGATAGGGTAAAGGAATCAAGATATTCGAGACAAAGTAGGAGTGACCTTTGTGGTGGACAAGACGAGGGAAGGGAGACTGAGATGATTTAAGCATGTGAAGAGGAGATGTGCGGATGCCGTTGTGTGAAGGTGTGAGAGGTTGAATATGGTGGGATCGAGGAGAGGTAGAGATAAGCGGAAGAAGTATTGAAGAGAAGTGATTAGACATGATATGACACATCTACAACTTTCCAAGAATATGACCTTAGTTATGAGAATATGGAGGTCGCGGATAAGGGTAGAAGGTTAGTAGGTAGTTAAGAGATGTCTTATTACTAGCCTACTCATATATTTGGCTTAGTGGTAGTATAGATCATCGTGGTGATCGTAGTATTAGCCTATTTATGTAGTCTTTGACTTTTGGTATTTGATATCACCTATTGATTATGTGTTTAGATAATCGCACCTTTGTTGTTGTTGTTATGGTTCCTTCATATATGTTTCGTACTGCTTTGCTACTAGTTGTCATGCTTCTCTCCACTACCATTTTTTTAAATTATTGTTTTAATTTGCTTCAGCCAAGGGTCTTTTGAAAACAACATCTCTACCTCATAAATGTTGTAGTAAGGTCTACATACACTCTACTCTTTCCAGACCCCACTTTCTAGGATTAGATTTGATGTTGTTGAATGATGCATGCAAGGGGAAGAGTAGTTATTTTTGCAAATGCATTGTGCAAGTAGATGTATTAATTTATACTAAGATGCTTTTATTATTAAAAGATACATAACAACCAAGAGAAAATACAAAATAAATGGATGATCAAGTGCACATAACTAATTGTATTGATTACACTTTCAATCCAAATTTCCAACTTTTCCAATCCTCAAGTAAATTGGATGAGTCACTTTTTTCTCACTCTTTCCATCTTCATTCCAAGCACTTGTGAACTTTTCAATAACATCTTCACTTAACAACTCAACACCCTTTTCTTTTGCAGTTTGATAAGCTGACCATGACTTCAAGTATGTAAAATAAGAATCCAAGTCCATAACTTTCTCAATCTTGAACTCAAATGGTCCATTGTGATCACAACCATCTACAGCCTCAAATGGAAAATCAATAGTTTTATACTTTTCATCAACCAATTTTCTTGGTGATTCCCAATAAGGTCCAGTATCACTAGTGTAAAATTTATCAAATATTGCATCTACTGAGCTGTTTATTTCAGGTGTAGTGTAACACCATGCTGCTATTACTCCATTTGGTTTCTTGAGTAACCATTTAACATGTTCATAAAAAGTTGGAAGATCAAACCAATGCATTGCTTGAGCAATTGTTACCAAATCTACACTTGACTCTGCTCCTATTTTGGTTTCGATTTCGGATTTTGACATCTTAGGAGAGGTACATATGTATCGAACATTCGGAACCTTTGCTGCAAATTCAAGCTGCTTTGGACTTGTGTCTGTAGCTATCACATACTTGTAAAGCTTAGCCAACTGAGGAAAACAATATTTTTGGAGCAAGTTAGGACAACTAAGTGATGAATGTTATTGAATACTTACTTAAGTACTTCCTCTGCTTCAATTTATGTAGCGGAGTTTGACACGTAAATGAAATGATGGCCTAAAATGAACAGAAGTTCTAAATATAGAAAGGTGACATTCTATTTAGAACGGACTAATAAGAAAATCGTGTCTTGTTTTGCCAGATGGACTATTTTGGAAAAAGGGAAAAACATTATGTCACTATCTAAAGAAACAGAGGACTTTACTGTTTCCTATGCAACTATATATTATAGTCACTCCGTTTAAAAAAGAATGACATATTTTTCTTTTTTTAGTTTGATTCAAAAAGAACATCAATTTCTTCTTTGACATCATTTTAATTTCAGTTTTTCCCGTGACATATTTAAGATCATAAGATTAAAACACATTTTGATACATTTAATATAATTTTTTAAACTCTTTATCAAATCAAACTAAGTCATTCTTTTTAAAATAAAAAAAATAAAAAAGTACTCATAATTCTAGCCCATGAAAGATCAGTCAATTGAACACTCTTTCGCCTAAAAATTACATTATGCATATATATATATATATACGCTTAGCTAGAGTCAAAATATTCACTAATGAGAGATTAAACATGTAGCATAATTAATACAAATTTTCCTTTTTACCTATCTATACAGTTTAATTTTCCGATTTTAACCCTCCTTGAATAAGGGTAGGTTAGATATTACTTTTTGCAGTTAAAAAAAATACCCTTAACAAAAAAATTTGATTGCGCGGAGAAATAAAGACTTACAGATTGAGCAGCCTGGCCACTACCAGTACCAACATCCCAGACAAGATCATGGGAAGGTGTTTTAGAAGCAATGAAATTGAACAATTCTTGAGGGTAACTTGGCCTACCCTTTGAGTATTGTTGTGCTTGCTTAATGAACAAATTTGCCATTCTTTTTTTTAGTTAATGATGAACAACATTTATTTTAAACCATTGATCCCTTTAATATATGCTTTAGATCAAGTAGAAAGAAGAAGAAAAATAGCATTTTGCTTGGTGTTGCGTGTTGCTTTTTGCCTTTAATCGGTGGCTTTGACCAAAACACCCATATATTCTCTAGTGTGATTTGATTAATTCAGATTCATTTATTAAAAACTAAAAATATTTTATGTTAATAGTACTATATTTTTTATTTGATAAACATATTATATTAAAGGAAAAATGCTTATACCAAAAAAAAATGAATTTTTTAAAGGTGTGTGCTATTTGGATTAAATCGAATATTAATTTGGATTGGGTTTTTGGTTTTTTGGTTTGATTTTAGATTCATAATTTACTTTGTTTGGTTTGATTATGATATATATATATATATATATATATATATATATATATATATAATATTTAGATTTAGAATTAAGTTGAAGTTAACCATTTTTGGTTTTTTAGGTTATTGCCTTTCATTGTGATTTATTTTATATTCTATGTTTGGACATTTATAATTAGTATACTTTTAAGTATTGTGTTTAAAGTTTTATTTGTGATTTATATTAGAAAGTATATTTAAGAGACATTTTATGCAGTATAGGGCGACCTATAAGCCCCGAGATACGGAATGTAAGTCTTATGGATCTACGAGGCATAGTCTCATGTATATTCAATTTTATAATTTTATTACTAAGAAAATAAGCTAAAGTAAAATTTTCAATTAGTTTACAAATAAATTTTAATAAATAACCTATAATATATAGAAGAAAATATTATGATTTTTATTTGAGAAAGGTATTAATAATCAATAATGAAGAAAAAAAGTATTATGATTACTATATATGAGACATATCTCTACTTCAATAATTAAAAATATATGATTTAAAGCAAAAAATGTTTTTTTTTTTAAATGGACTTATATTTTTACGCTAAGACTTATGCTCTATGGATCTATGTCTTTAATTGTGATATCATTTTATTTTATTTTGCAGATTACAAATATCACTTTGATTGTATTATTAATTGTTGGTCTAACCAAATCGAAAAAATCAAATTGAAAAAGAAAAAATCATTGTATTCGAATTAAATTATACTTTTTTAAAAGCAAACGCTTCATGCCAAAAAGATTGAATTTCATGTCTAATAAGACTATAAAGAAAGAGAAACGCTTCATACCAAAGCGATTAAAAAAAAACAAATAATAAAGAAAGAGAAACGCTTCATAGAGACAAATTTTTTTTCTTAAAGAAAACAAACGAAGAAGACAAACAAATCAATGCCTTGGGGACATAAAAGGAGGAATCTGTGTACATCATGCATGAAGTATTTATCAATTTCTTTATTTTATTTGCTTTGCTTTTGTTTGCAATAATTTTTTAAGTGACAAAATAAATTACAATCACAAATAAAATATGAAAAAATATAATAAAATCAAGATTGTGAGTACAATTCTATCATTCCTTGATTCTTCTCCCATAAGATTTATTCATAATTCGAGGGTTGTTAGTGACATAAATATTTCATGAAATTTGCGAAATATTTGAGATTTCGATCTCTTTATGGAATTTTCGAGATGTCAAGGGAATATAGTACCCTTTATATAGGCATAAACTAGGGTTTAAGGTTGAGTAGCCTTCAAAAATCCTAGTTAAAATTGAACACACGTTATAGAGTCCCACAAAATTTCAATGTCTACAGATTTATATCCAACTATTTTATTGCAACATTTTTGCTATAATGTTGCTTTGAAAATTTTCTATTGAGAAAAATAGTATTGAAATCAGACTCTCTAAATTGAATATGCAAAATATTGTTAGGCTAAAACTGTATTCTAGTCTAAAATCTTAACCTAGCTAGCTATCAATTTTATTGAGTCGTTCTCATCTTCGATTAATGTGTTATAGTTGAGAAGTTTCTCGATGAAATCGACATGTGTCATCAACATTCTTCGACAACAATATCGAATCAAACCTAATCGATCGAGTGCTTCGCTTTCTTCATAGCCAGCTTGGAGAATTTCAAGATATTCATCCCATTTGTATCCGATCACCTTCCCGCAAGTAAAGCATCGAACTGGGATTATCATATTCCTTATACTATATAACAAACAATTATGATATCAGTTTTGATTTTTGAATGAAATAATTAGTATAATATGATGGATATATAGGATTTGGAGGCAAGTTTTGTGTATATATAGGATTACCGGAATAAACTAACCAAATCATAAAAGAATTAGGAAAACGTACATAACTCAAATTGAAATATAATAATTCAAAGTTGGACTAGAAATCATGAGTTGGTTAGGATTTCTTATTTGGTATTTATTTAATTAATATTGGAATAATTTGATTTTTTAAATATTTTTTATAAATATAAATAAGGTGTCTTCTCACATATTTTCATGTAGTGAAATTGAAGAGTATTTTTTATATTTATGAATAATTTTTTTAAGAAACCAATTTGTTTTTATATGATTAATAATATTTATTAACAAAAAAAAAAGAGTTCTCAACTTTCTCTCTTACATTGAAAAGAAAAGGAATCCACCTATAAGGTATCGTAATGATGTGAGTTAGAGCCGTCAAAATGGGCTTGGCCTGCTAGGCCGGTCCAATCCAACCCTTGAATTAAATGAGGTTGGGCTCAATTTTTTCAGCCTATTTAGGAACGAGACTTTTTAGCCCAGTCTCATTTGGCCCGTTGGCCTCGTAGGGCCAACCCGCAAACCTCAAAGGCCATCCCGCGGGCTGTGAATTTTAAAAATATTTATTTTATATATTTTAAGTAATGTTTTACTTGTTAAGATTTTGTCAATAAATATTTTTAAAGTATCAATATAAAATCAAGACTATATTTTTTACATATCTTTTACACTTTAGGGTCATTAGTCCACTAAATTTTCTTATTAGCTCAAGTCCATTACTCCATCATAACTATGAATCTTTGACCTTTTTCACTATTTGTTTTTATGCTTAATTTTTCACTTCTCCTTTATTGTCTTGTTTATGAAAATAGTGACCATATAATGATTTTTTGCTCGGATGAATCTTATGAATATTGTATCTTGGCTATTATGTATTTGTTTTGTAAATATTCACTGAAGTATATGTAATTCATGAATGAATTTATGTATGTATTGATGTCGTGTTCATCGGACATCAACGTTCGTATCCTTTCTAAGAGGAAAATGTTGTCCGTTTTTTGGTTGAAGGGCCAATCCGTCCCAATCTGTGGCCCGCTTAGGGCTGGGTTGGGCTGCTATTTTATAGGCCCTTTAATTAAAAATCAGCCCGTCCCAACCCATTTAACTATCTAGCCCGTTAGGGTTGGGTTGGGTTGGGCATGCCCATTTTGACAGCTTTAATGTGAGTAGAGCCGTCAAAATGGGCTTAGCCCATGGGGCCGGCCCAACCCTATCCGTTATTGGGTAGGCTTGGGATAGGATTTTTTATTCCCATTTAAAATTAGGACTTATAAGCCCTTGGCCCTTGAGGCTTGATTGGAGCTGGGCCGACGTCGGCCCATGGGCCAAAACTTTTTATTCAAGAGTAATTTACAATAATCTCACTAGTATAATCTAATTATTGAATACATGTTATGTTGTAATATTATGAATCTTCGTACCCAGATACATGTATCTCAGAATATATGGACTCAAAATTAGGTTAATTTGTTCTAGATACACTCTATCAAAGTAGATTCACATGTATCTAGGATACATATACAAATCTTGCGCCCTCGCCTCCCTCCCATCTTGCTTGTCACTCTCTTATCTCACTCGCATATCTAGTATGTGAGATACATGCTAATTACACTAAATTTTTGCTAGTGTTATTGAAACAACACCATTGTTTGTCATATTTGATTTGAAAATCTTCTCATTTTCTTGATGTTATAGAATTACAAGTTTGAAAAGAAAAAAAAAAAAGGCCTAGCCCGCCCCAGCCATCGGCCCTTCTAGGGTTGGGTTGGGTTGGGCATTTTCAGGCCCTACCAAATGAAGGGCCGGCCCGCCCAAGCCCTTCAAATTTCTTGGCCCGCGAAACTTGGGTCGGGTGGGGTTAGGCCGGCCCTTTTTGACAGCTCTAGATGTGAGACATTTTGAAAAAAAAAATGTTGCGAGCTTGATCAAAGCATGCAATATTGCACCTTACTTTAGACTCATTTAACCTAACAAAAGAAAATTTTGTGAGCCCACTAAGCATTTGAGTATGTCTGTTTAGAGCGCACAGTACTTAGGCTTTGATTGACAAAGTAGGTGGGAATTCACCAATGAATAATATTCATTGGGTCTCAAAAGAACTTCAACCTCAAATTCAATTTCAACCAATTTGATCAAGGTATTTTGCAAATCTTTATGGGTCTTATTTGTTATGATTTAATTGTTTGATTTCAATCTTAGTATGCATAATTTGATTTCATTACATGATTTACAACTGATTTCATATGGACCCACGCTTTTTACTTGATTATGATGATGAATGTATGAAGAAAGCTTATGAACTTATGATTTACGAAAGTTATGCATATGTTTATGAAAATGATGTTTATAAATTAAGGATTCTTTTGAGATGAATTTGTGAAAGGTTTCCTAACATATGTATGAATCATGATTTAAAGGAGCTACTCTTATACGACTTTATGATTTGGATTGGTATCTTGATTATTGTCTTTCCTAATGTTATGCTTGATACTTTATCTATTCCGTTGAAATTTTACTTAGCACCGAGAGAACTTTGAGGTGGAGACTCAAATATGGTAGTCTCTAGTAGCAATCTCTAGTTCCAAATTACGTGCCCCTGTAGAATTGTCTTAAATGACCTAACTAGTGGATCCACATAACCTTTATGATATGATACGGAGTTCTACCTTGGCAAGTAGACTCTCCCTTCTCGGTGTGGAATTAGTTACATCGGATCCCATGTTATAGCTCATATGGTCTATTGTCGGTTAAAGCTAATATCCCACAAAAAAAACTAGCTTTCATTATGTCTTTTATTAATGCTTGGCCTTGTCTCATGATTTTATTGACTTCGCTTTCTTATAAGCTTTTAAATGTTTTACTTGGTCATGCATTTCATGTTTTAAGCCTACTATGATATCATGTCTACGCTTATGCATATTTCTCCATCCTTAGTACATTCCATGTACTAATGCATACATGTGCCTATATTATTGTTCATAATATAGGGTTCAACGCTTCTCCTCCCATTCGTGATTAGATTTGGGATTACTCATAGCTATTGGATTGGTGAGTCCTCATACTTCGAGTACAAAGCCATAAAGACCTTTTATTGCTTTTATCACTTACTCTTGATACTTTGTACGTGGTGTATGAGTTACGTCACAACAATTCTTATGATTTTAAAATGGCTTGTCAAGACATAGTTATGTTTCCGCATTTTATGTTCAAACTCTCCTTTATGATATGAGACGTCTTACTCAAGCTCTCATATTGTACATTTTATTGTGTTATATGCATGTCAAGTGACTTGTATATGATCTCTCAGGGTCCTATATGTCATGTCACGTTTAGGATATACTTTGGGTTGTGACAATAACTACAAAGGGACAACAAAAACAAAAAGTAATTTGTCTACGTCATGCATGAAGTATTATTAATAGCGGGAATAATCAATTTCTTTATTTGCTTTGCTTTATATCCAACTATTTTATTGTCATATTTTTGTTATAATGTTGCTGTAAAAATATTTATTTCTTTGAAGAAGAGAGCCTATTGAAACAGGAGTCCGAAGCCAAAAGGGCAATTTTTTTCCTGCAAAAAATAAAAACGGTACATCAAAAAAAAAAAAAAGCAAAATCGCTCCTGACGGAGGGATTTTTTTCTGACAAAAATTGACGTTGTTAAAAGAAATGAAAATCGCTGCCTTAAAAAATAATTCTTTTTCTCTTTAAAATCACTGCTATAGTAGCGTTTTTTTAAAAAAAAAAAAAGTTAAATCGCTCCCCTAGCGGCGATTAGCGTTTTAATCAAAAGAATATAAAATTTGAAGTTTAATCGCTGCCATTCAAGTGAGTTAAAAAGTAAAAAAAAAAATTAGTATTTTGTAAATAAAAATTTGAAACAAATCTGTAAGTACATTGCATTTATATTATAACTATATTATAATAAATAATTGATTTGAACTATAGCAACAATTTAACTTTTTTTTAAAAAAAAAAATTATCAAAATTATTTAAATCTTTACTTCTTTTTTTTTATAAAAACATTTAAAGAAAAAAAGAATATATTTTTTTGAGAAAGCATTTCTATTTCTTTTAACTGAACGGCGTCAATTTTTGTCAGAAGAAAATCACTCCGAGCGATTTTACCCTTTTAGTTAAAAAGAATTTTGATGTGCCGTTTTTATTTTTTGAAGGAAAAAAGTTGCCCTTTTGGCTCCGGACTCATTGAAACAGGCTCTCGACTCTCCACCTCATAAATAAACCTGAATTATAAAATTATATTAAATATGTTATTATTATAATTTAATCTAAAAAAAGCTAAAACTGTAATCAAGTCTAAAGTTTTAAAATCATAACCAAGCTATCAATTTTATTAAGTAGTCTTCACTTCCTCCTCCTCGATTAATGTTTTATAGTTGAGAAGTTTCTCGATGAAATCGACATGTGTCATCAACATTCTTCGACAACAATATCGAACCAAACCTAATCGATCGAGTGCTTCGCCTTCTTCGTAGCCATCTTGGAGGATTTCAAGATATTCGTCCCACTTGTATGCGATCACCTTCCCGCAAGTGAAGCATCGAACTGGGATAATCATATTTCTAAGTATCAATAAACAAACAATTAGAACTTTAATTATGATCTTAATTTTGAATGAAGTTAGAATTTGTACTATGAAGTTACATACCCAAGAAATTGTGGGAATATTAATTAGGGGTTCCTTTAGCGATATGTTTCAATCCTTAATTTGGAGCCAATATATATAGGATTACCGGAATAAACTAACCAAATTATAAAAAGAATTAGGAAAACGTACATAACTCTAACTCAAATATAATAATTCAAGTTTGGACAAGGAACCATAAGTTGTTTATGATTTTACTCTTTGGTATTTAT